TTGAAGTTGTGAACTTATGTTCTTCTCAACTCTTACCTGTTTTAGTATTATTTAAGTCCCATTGTCTAATTTTTCTTCTGGAACTCCAGTTCACAGATTAATTCTTTTCATTGTGCCATATATATATTTTTGCCCTCTTTTCTGTGCTTTTATTTTTTTATTTTTCTATTTTTGCTTCAGTATGGATATTTCCCTCCATCTTCTGGCTTGCAAATCTTCTTCAGCTGCATGAAGTCTAATATTAAACCCATTTATTAAATTCTTAAATGGGGTTCCTGAGTTTTTACTTTTGGAGTTTAAATTTGCTTCTTTTATATATTGATTCCAATTTTCTTTTTTTATGATTGATTTATTTTAGAGAGAGTATGTGCGTGAACAGGGCGGAGTGGGGAAGGCAGAGGGAGAGGGAGAATCTCAAGTAGACTCTCTGCTGAGCATGGAGCCCTACCCCCAATTCCATCCAATGACCCTGAGATCATGACCTGAGCTGAAATCAAGAGCTGGATGCTTAACCAACTGAGCCACCCAGGTGCCCCTAGAGATTCTAGTTTTGTGCTAGTATTCTTGATCTTGTAATTACAACTATTTTGATATCCACATTTGAAGACTCTAATTTTCCAATCTCTTGTGCATCTATTTCTCTTTTTTTAGGATGTTTTAAATTTTTAGTTATCTCTACAGTCAACAGAGGCTCAAACTCATGACCCCAAGATCAAGGTTTGCACACTCCACTGGCTGAGCCAGCCAGGTGCCCCTGCATCTTTTTCTATTATCTATTTTTTTCCTTGATTTTCATATGGTCTTGTCCCATGGAATGCCGGATATTTCATAGGAAAACATGAGAAATAATTTGATGCTTTTAATGATGTTATCTTTCTCCAGAGGGTTAACTCTATTTTATTAGGCAGTGAGCCTAGGAAAGATTATTGTAATCCAATCATACACCAAGCAGATTTGATCAGTTTTCAGTCTTTGTGAGATTTTGTCTATATACAGTTGATTGCTAACACTAGAATGAATCCCTTCAAGGACCTAAGAAAAAATGTTATGTGTTTAATAAAGCCCACCCCTTGATAGTTTCCCAATTAAAATTTTTATCCCCCCCAAAAAAATAAAAATAAAATAAAATAAAATAAAATAAAAATTTTATTCCCCAACCTAGTAAGACTGAAAGATTTGCTCACCTCAGTGGCTTCTTCAATTATGGTTTGCAAACTAGCAAATATCTTGAGGAGAAAAGTGGAGATGAATGTTGCATATTCCCCTCTCTGTTCTTCCCCTCTGTATCATATCTTGTTCCCTCAAGTTCATGCTGCCTTGCTAGTTCTCTAGTGCTTTAGAACTGATGTTTACATCTGTCCAGTGTTTTTAGCTGTACTCCATCAGATGATTGTGCTGAAAGTATTGCTGAATTTTTAAATATGAGGAAGTTAATGAAATACTTCAATGCAAAGACAAAGAGTAAAAACATTAAAAGAATGATATCATGAGGTAAAATATCCAAGACCTGAAGAATAGATCAAGGAAGCTAACATGAGAATACATTCCAGAGTAAGAAATAAAACCCATGAAAGAAGGAAAACAATTTACCATGGGAAATTCATCAAGGATAAAATGATTTTTTTTTTCTATATTGAAGAAAGTGCTGAATCTAATCCTTAGACTCCATGTGTTCCAGGATGGGGTGACATAAGACACATTTTGTCATAACTTGAACAAAGTTTCATTTTTTTAAAAAATATTTTATTTATTTATTCATAAGAGACACACAAAGAGGGCCAGCAACATAGGCAAAGGGGGAAACAGGCTCCCTGCAGAGAGCCCAATACAAGATTCAATCCCGGGAGCCTGGGGTCATGCCCTGAACCAAAGGTAGACGCTCAACTACTGAGCCACCCAGGCGTCCCCTGAACAAACTTTCTGATCTCATAGGCTAATAAAGAAAAATCTTCCAAGCTTCCAAGCAAAAGGAACTTACCAGACATCAGGGAATATGAATTAAAATCACAAAGCGATGTCACTTCACACTTACTAGAATGGTTATAATAAAAAGCACAGATAATAGGAAGTGTTGGAAGAGAGGTAGAAAAATTATAAACTTCAGATACTCTTGGCGGGAATGTAAAATTATGTGGCTGTTTCGAAAAATAATTTGGTAGTTCCTCAAAAATTAAACATACAGTTAACTATTAGCAGTTTTGCTCCTAGCTGCGTTCTAAAGAGAAATGAAAACTTTTGTCCACATAACTTATATGTGAATGTTCACATATTTCAATGTGTAAATGAAAACAATCATTTTTGCATATCAGCTACTTTGTTTCTTTTTTTTTAAAGTTTATTTATTTATTTGAGGGAGAGAAAGAGTTGGGGGGGAGGAGCAGAGAGAGAGGAAAAGAGAAATGTTAAGAAACTCTAAGCAGACTCCTCACTAAGTGTGGAGCCCTACGTGGGACTCGATCTCACAACCCTGAGGAAACGTCAGACCCTTAACCAACTGTGCCACCCAGGAGCCCTGTGGCTACATTGTTTCACTGAGTGGTCTCTCACCTTTTTCTTTTTTTCTTAATCACTGCTATCCATATCCTCAGAATCGGAATCTTCCAAGAGGCAGCCTCTATCTAGGTCTGCATCCCACATTATTGACAAAAGAGTCAACTTTGTTCTAACAGGTGGATATTAATTATTGGTGATGGTGTCAGAGAAATAAAGATAAATTGGTTTTTCACAACACAGGTTGGAAGGATACAGATTTAGATACAATATTTTGTTTTGTTTTTATTACCCTAGGGCACATCTGACAATTTCCAGTTATCTGAGAATATATTTTTTTCCTGCAAAGCCCTTTGTAAAAAGACAGAAAAAGTTCTTGTTAGTTAGGCCTTTTTATTTAACATAGATTTACAGTGCAAAGGGAAACATTAAGTACCAACTTGAGCAAAATAACTTCGTAGACTCTCCAAAATAGAGTCGATGGCTTTATACCTGATGGCTTTATACCTATGACTCCAGGCTGACCCCGTTATCTTGGAGTCTGTCTCCATGTGACACCTGGAGAGGAATGTTTGCTTGGGCTGGGTGATAGGCAGTCTGGAGTCCTGTGGGTGGGATTCTGAGCTAACCTGGCCTTTAGATGTTCTTTTCTCCTATTTGGTTTTTAAAAGGTCAGTGTGTGAACCACTTCAATGTCTCCCACTGTTTTCCTTTGCATTTTACAATGCCTGTGTGAGCTCCAGAAAGGAGCATGTTTATTGTGCATGCCATTCAATTTAGATCCTACTAGAGCAAATAATTATAACAACTCAGAGGAAAAAACTGGAAAATAAGTCCCTGATGTAAAACCAGTCACAGGGCCAAAACGGTAGTGCCAATTATGATTTCAGTGCCTTACACACATTACACTGCCAACAGCCTTTTAAGAAATATATAATTTATTGTTGGTCTGGATGGGCATATTAATATTTGTTCTCAAGCAGCCAACTGTCTTTGTATTAAAAGTTAATATTGAAATTTTCAATTCACTTTTGCTAATTTTACTTTTTTTGTTGTTCTTAAATGAAGAATGTTAATGGCAATACATTGGCCAGGAGAGAAAGGATGCCCAAAGGCTGACTCAGCATGTGTGTGAACCTGGGGCACATATAGCACGTCCCATAATTTTCTAGCTAATGTTCTTTCCTTGATTACATGTATAAAAAGCAGCAAGCCAATCACTCAAACAATAAAAGCTTATCACATTCTCCTTTTGTTGAAGTCAGGGATCCAGGTCTCGTGAAAGTCTTAAAATGAAGACTATGATACCTGCCTCTTATATGAGTTTCTGCAGAGATGAATCATAAGCAAGTAAATGTTAGTCATGATACAACAGATATCCAATAGTCCTCCCTATAATGACAAAAATAAAATTGCAAAGAAATGCATCATTGTTAAACAAATTGCTTGTGCCAGTGTTAGAATAAAACTGAAAGGATGTGAAAGATAAATAAAGGGGAAAGGAGAAAAAAAATTAGTGGGTAATATCAGAAAGGGAGACAGAACATGAAAGACTCCTAACTCTGGTAAACGAACTAGGGGTCGTGGAAGGAGAGGAGGGCGGGGGGTGGGGGCCACTGGGTGACAGGCACTGAGGGGGGCATTTGACGGGATGAGCACTGGGTGTTATTCTATATGTTGGCAAATTGAACACCAATAAAAAAATAAATTTATAAAAATAAAAAAAAGAAAGATAAATAATCCTGTAAAAATGGTCCCTGTTATTGGCTATGTCAGAGAAGGATCAAAGTAAACTTACAGATGAATTAGTTAATGCTGGAAAAGACCACTCCAATTATTCTTTGAAAATAAACTTCAAAGTTGCAGGAAAACTACTTTTTGTATGAGCATTCATAAACCCTGGCATTTCTTCTTAAACAGTGCATGAATTCTTTTTTTGTGTTTCCCAAACCCTAAGAGGAATCCTCTGGAGTGACACAATCAGAGTCCAGAGAACACAGGATCATTTCAAACACAACCATTCATTAATACCCCTGGCAACATACCACTTACGTATTTATATCAAAATGTACCCATCACATAAACTTAGGACATTTTCCAAAGAACTAATGACGTGGAAACTTTGGCCAAAGTCAATAACAACAACAAAATAACCTGCCAGCTTTAGCCAACCCTTATCTACTTCAAGTACAAAGATTAAATAGTTCAAGTCTGGATGAAGCCCCAGTAAGCTCAAGTTCTGCCAAACCAAGAAAACTGAAATGTGGACAGGATATGCCTCTGCTTATCTGTGAGATGTAGTCATGCCCAGGGGGAAGTAGGACATGACTATCCCTTCAATAAATGCCTCCTTATGCTTCAGCCCTGGGCTACCTCCTTTACTTATGGCATGTCATTTATAGACTATCCCCTTGAGGACCTCTGATTTATTCATTCATTCGATCACTGATTCACTAAATATTTGTTCCTATTTTGCAGTTGGGGAAAATCTCCTAGAGAATAAATGTCAACAAGTAATTTACTCAAGATCACCCAGTCGGCTAGTAAACAGAGAAGAGATTGAAGTAAGATAGATACGACTCGAAAGTCATGTTCTTTCCTCCATTCGGGGGGCTCTCCAACAGGGGCTCCATCACAGTCATCTGGGGCTCTCACAGGTACTTCTGAGTCTGATTCTGGTTTATTTGAGCGGAGTGTTCTGTGGTGGGGCCCAGGAATCTATTTTAACCAGGGCTTCCTGTGATTCTGATACGCGGTCAAGTGTAGGAACAATTAAAATGCAACATACTAGTTTTCTAACTCCTTTTGTTAAGTTCTTTTTTTTAAGATTTTATTTATTTATTCATGAGAGACACAGAGGGAGACACACACACACACACACAGAGAGAGAGAGAGAGAGAGAGGCAGAGACACAGGCAGAGGGAGAAGCAGGCTCCATGCAGGGAGCCTGACGCGGGACTCGATCCCAGGACTTCAGGATCGTGCCCTGGGCAAAAGGCAGGCACTAAACCGCAGAGCCACCCAGGGATCCCCCTATCTGGTTACCTTTTTTAAAAATGAGCCATGTGCATCTCTCGGAAGAATAGCCAGGCAGATGGAGCAGCTAGCACAGGGGCACCAAGGCAAGTATGTGTCTGGTGCATCCAAGAAATATCCAAAAGGCCAAGGTGGGTGCAAGAAGGAAGCAAGAAAGAGCTGTGAAAGTTGAAGTCAGAAAGATAAAGAAGGGAAGAACCAGGAACCAGGTGAGCTCATGGTGGGTCTTACAGGCTACCGTGCTTTTACTTTTGCTCGAAATCAAATGAGAAACAGTTGTTAGGCTTTGATTTAAAAAGTCATGCTGAGCTGCTTTATGAAAAACAAAGAATTCCCTTTACAAAGGCCAGAAGAAGATTCTAAAAGAGCTCTAGTCCAGACTTCTCTGAAAAGGCAGGTGTTTTCCTAGATTATTCCAGGGAAATGGTTACAATCTCACATGAAAGGAGGCTTCATTACTCTTTAGTCACCCATCTACTTCATTCAACTATTCATTAACCAAATATTTATTAAATCCACAACCTACCTTGTGTTAGGTGCTGTGCTAAGTGCAGAGGGCTTTATACGATTTATGACTTGGCCCCCAAAGTGCTCAGCAGCAGTATATATGGTTCAGGTTGCCTGTGAAGTAATTGTTTATCTCCAACCTAATTACTTCCATTGTAATTAAGCCCCCTTTCCTTTGGCTGATTGTCAATAGGTGATGTAATCAGCCAACGTGGCCACCAGGTTTATGTCTGTGACAGGCTATGGCTGGCAGTCTCTTCTAAAGGTTTATTGGAAACGAAAGCTGTTGTATGCATAGGTTTACCTGAAGGGGAATAAGGGAGATTATTGGCAGAGAAGAAGGGGTGCCAGAACGGAGGGCAGGAGCACTAGAAACTGAGAAAGTTCTCTGGTTTCCTGAAGTTGAGGGCAGGGAAAAGGTGCTGCTTACTGTTTGGGGGAATAAGAAAGAAACATGAGTCAAACTAGCTGCTTTTTCTTATATAGTATATATTTTGAACTTATTTTATTGCCATTGAAGAGGGAAATGCTTTAGAGTAAGAGCAAAACATGGAATGGACCCGGGCCAAAGAAAAAAACCTTAACATAGTGACTAATTCTTTTAAGATGATTCAGTTTGCAGACTTCACAGGTAGTGGAAATAGTGTAGTAATGCACAACATAACAGAATAATAGTCACCTCAGTTTTCTTACTCAGAGGGATAAATAGTCAAGGACCAAAAATGTGATTAATATCTTGATTATGCTTTACTACAGGGACCTTTTAGTGGCCACATTTAAAAGATTTTTCTTTGTGCTTTACCTCTAGGCCAATAAATCTATGCTAACTTTATGGCATAATGGTTTTGTTTTATAAATATGTCAGCTTAAGGAATGATTGGAGCACATCCTACCTTCCCCATCCAATTTTTTATTCCGAAAGATTTCAACTGATAATCTGAATTTTTACTTTATGCAGGGCATCTTGATTATAAATATATCATAAATCATAATTATAAACACATCATACTATGAAGAAACAGAAAATCTCTCTGATACAGAAGACACACTTTCTAAATATTTTCCTGCCATTTTAATTTCAAGAGTAAAGAAAAATATAAATGCAACTAGAAATCACAAAGGTACCTAACTGTTATCTCCCTGAAGTGGCAAAATATACATGATTTTTAAAATTACTGACGTGAGATATAATGCGTGGTTGATAGTTCAAGTCTGATAGAGTATAAATTTCAAGCTTAGATATTGTTGATGGAAAATGAAATATAAAGGCTAAATTCAGACCTCTCCCAAGTCAGTAGCAGAGTCCTGATGGAGGAGCAGCGGTGTAAAACCAAAGTATATGCTTCACTCTGCCGGAGAAGCTGAGTGGTACCATGATAAGAGAAAACAAAAGACAAGCTTGGAGATGCTCTTTGTTCATTTATTAATTTATTTTTAAACAACATTTTATAAAGATTATGTTGTCTTTTCAAAAAAATAGTGGGACTGGAGGAGTTGTGTCTTGGGGGCTCACCTGTGCTAATCCCCACAGCATGAGCGGAGTTGAAGATGTGTTCACTGGTTTACGTTTGTTTAAGTGTTTCCTTCTTAAGGCATTTTTCTTTAGGCATTTTCTATATTCCTGACTAGGAGGCCAGCTCCTACTCTTGGACTTTCTGGTTGTGCATTGAAAAGAATTTAAAAAATATTATCAATTAAAAGACCATACAGGTAATATAGGTATATGGAACTGGTAAGCTAATGTTTGTGTTTAATTTCCTATAAAACTGAAATGCTAGTCCCTTTTGTTCCTTACTGGACTCTTGTTAAGATCACACTGGCCTGATAGCTGACTGTTTTTCCCAGTGCAGTGTAGGTGACCACCAGGTGCCAAGGAATGATACCCAGTACCACAGGTAAATCTTTAAAATCTCTTGAAAAGAGCACGATTCTTACTATCAGGAATGACGTAGTACTTCAAGTATAGAGGAATGGAGAGATCAGCAAATCCTATCTCCCTAAAACAACTTTAAAGCTGGACAGATTTGGGATCCCTGGGTGGCTCAGCGGTTTGGCGCCTGCCTTTGGCCCAGGGCACGATCCTGGAGACCCGGGATTGAATCCCACGTCGGGCTCCCGGTGCATGGAGCCTGCTTCTCCCTCTGCCTGTGTCTCTGCCTCTCTCTCTCTCTCTCTCTCTCTCTGTGTGACTATCGTAAATAAATAAAAATTAAAAAAAAAAAGCTGGACAGATTTGACAAAAATAATGTGAATCAGAAATATACCAAAGCAGTCTGTGAAAAACAGGAGCTTTACTGTTGAAGAGGGCTAGCTTTATTTGGAGTGGAAAAAGGAAAACCCACACCCAGAAGCAACAGAGAAAAGACAAGACTGTGGCTCTCCTAGCCCGAGTTTGCAGTTTCTGTTGTGATGTAGTGAAATACCAGAGGGCTAGACAGGGAGGTTCTGGAAATGAGGTAGCCATTGAAGGCCTTGATAAGCATTCCATGCATCCTTGGCTGTCTGGAAGCCCGTACTCATGAAGTACAGACCTCAGAGGGCCCAGCAAAAAGTAAGAATGGAGGCAGAATTGAAAAGTGCCCAGACTTGGAATGTATTCCCCAAACCGAATACAGATCCACTAACAGAGAATGGAAGCTGTATAGACATGAGGTGTTTGAGCACAGTGTGTACCAATCATTGACCACTAAACTGTGCAGACTTGCCTCTGGGGAGACAGATCAAAAAAGGAAATTAAGATTAAAAAAAAAAAAACTGAGCAGAGACATCAGTAGCCATACACTGTAGGGGTAATAGTTTCTACAGATTAAGTCTAGGTTATTAATTTTTTTTTACTTTTTTAATTTAAATTCACTTTGCCAAGATATAGTATAACACCCAGTGCTCATCCCATCAAGTGCCCTCCTTAGTGCCTGTCACCCAGTCACCCCATCCTCCCACCTACCTCCCCTTCCCCTTCCACAACCCTTTGTTTCCCAGAGTTAGGAGTCTCTCATGGTTTGTCTCCCTCTCTAATTTTTCCCACTCAGTTCCCCTCCTTACTCATATAGTCCCTTTCACTATCTCTTATATTACACATATTGAATGAAACCATATGATGATTGTCCTTCTTTGATTGACTAATTTCACTCCAGTTCCATCCACGTCAAAGCAAATGGTGTTTTTTTTTTAATAAAATAAAAAAGAAAGTAAACAACAACAACAAAAAAAACCCATCAACAACAAAAACCCCCAGGATAAAAATAAAATGAGAACAAGAGTTGTTATAATATATTATCTAAAATGTCCAATTTTCAATAAAAAAATAATGAAACATGCAAAAAAAAAACAGGAAAATATGACCCATACTCAGGGAGAAAAAGAAGCAGCCAATAGAAATAGACTCTGGGAGGTCCTATAAGTTGGATTTAACAGGTAAAGACTTCAAAGCATCTATTGCAAAATGTTCAGAAAACATTTATTTTTATTTTTTAAATATTTTATTTTTTCTTGAGAGAGAGAGGGAGGCAGAGACATAGGCAGAGGGAGAAGCAGGCTCTCCTTAGGGAGCCCCATATAGAACTCGATCCCTGAACTCCAGGATCAGTCCCTGAGCAGAAAGCAGAGCTTAACTGCTGAGCCATCCAGGCATCCCCCCAAAACATTTTAAAGAACCAACAGAGAACATGCTAACAATGATTCAGTACAGAGGAAACACTGATAAGGAAATCAAATCTATTAAAAAGTACCAGATGAAAATTCTAGAGTTGAAAAATACAACCACCAAAATGAAATATTCACCAGATGAGCTCCACAGTAGATTTGACATGAATGAAAAGTTAGTGAACCAGAAAATGGATCAGTAGAATTTATCCAATCTGAAAAACAGAAGAACAATTGCAAACACATTAAACAAATCCTCTGAGACCCATGTGTTACCACCAAGCATATCAATCCTGTATGTAATGGGGAATCCCAGTGGGAGAGGATAGAAAGGGACAGAACAAATATTTGAAGAAACAATTGGCTGAAAATATCCCAAACTTTATTAAAAGCCTTCATCAACAGATCTGAGGAGCTAAATGAATCTCCCAAAGAGATTCTCACCTAAACATGCCATAGTTGAATTATTTTTTAAAAAGATTTTATTTATTTATTTAATTGAGAGGGAGAGAAAGAGCTTGAGGGACCACATGGTTGGGGGGGGGGCGGAGAAGGGGAGGGAGAGGAACTCTCAAGCACACTCCATCCTGAGCACTGAGCCTAGCACAGGGCTCCATCCAGGACACTGAGATCATGACCTGAGCTGAAACCAAGAGTTTTGCTTAACAGACTGAGCCATCCAGGTGCCCCCGCCCACCCCACCCCCCATAGTTGAACTATTGGCAGCCAAAGAAAAAGAGAATATCTTGAAAATTTCAAGAGAAAACTCTAGTATTAGGAATTTAGATGCCTAGCATATGCAGCAATGATCAAGGAGGCTGGAATGGATCTCTCTGCATGAACCCGGATTCCCAGATCTTACAGTAAATACAAATAAAGACCTAGAGCCCTCTTTCATCCTGCATGATGCTACAATGCATATCTTTGAATAGGAGGTTCTATTATTTTTTAAAAAGAGATTAATAAAACAAGATCCATAAGTGAGTCTGTATCCAACTTCACCTTGATCAAGTAGTGTTGATCAATAACAGCAGTACTGATTATGTTAGCAATGTTCTAAGGAATGAAAATTCTATCAAGAGCGATGACAGAATCCTAGGGAGAATGCCTTGGTGACCACAGGCAGCCCATTCTCTCAGGAACGAAAACAAACAGACAAAATCAACTCAGGAGAACCTAAACATGTGAAAACAGTAGAGCCATGCTTTTTCCCAGGTTGCTAGACTTTAATGACCGTGGCATTTGAAAAACCAGCATTTAAATGGGTGGATGGATTATGAGAGCAAAGTGTACGGCCGGTTTCAAATAAAAGAAGAAACTTTGTGATTAACAAAATGCTCAAGGTCAAGTCTGTGCCTCCTTATTAAATATTAATTAACAAGCAAACAAACAAAAACCAAAGTTCTCCTGTTTTTAATACCATGTGTGTTCAGATCATTTAGTGTTTTGCTGTCCGTATGAGCTCACTTTCTGGATAATTGGAAAGTTAAGTAACTGCCTAGAAAAGGTAAACATTTGTTAAAGTCCTTAAGAGGAGGCTTAACTTATTTGATACGACTGCAATAAAATAGTAGTTTGTGTCAACATAAAATCCTTCTTGTATCTATCATATGATGTCATGTGGAACTGCCAACACACAGGTTTTGATGTAAGACTTTTTCAATATACTTCATTCATAATCAGAACCCACATTGTGATATCATTTTTTCCCTAAAGTCTGAATAAATAAATAGAAGTGTGTTGACTTTGATTTATTTGTGTTTTCCTTAGGTACCTGATGACGACAACAGCTTAAGAAGATTCAATTGGCTGGTGTGACTGATAGAATTAAGTGGCTAATGACTGAGGAGGTGGGACATTTTCAATTCCAAACGAGTAAGCTAATTCCTTAAGTAGTTATGCTTTTCCTCTGGGCTCATGATGGAGCACTACACATGTGTTTCAAAGTATTCTTCCCTTTGTAAGTTTTTTTTTTCAGTTCAAACAATTGTTTCTACATAAGCAAGAGCTCAACAACCCCCTTCCCACTTTCTATATCTCTCATGGGGCTTTTTGAATGTGTTTTCTAAGTATTGCTGCCTAACTGGCTGAAAAGGGGTTTGGAAGAATTTGGATACAGAATTTGAGCCATATCTTGAAAATGGAAGGATTTTGAACAAAAATGCAATGAAGTGGGGTGGTAGTGTCAATTATTTCCAGCAATGAACACAGCATGCCCAGATATATAAAGGAAGGAAAATTCACTGCTGACAAAGAGGAGCAACAGCCTGGGGTAAGATTGAGACACAGGAGGAGACCCAGAAATTATAGAATAGAAAATGTGGCCTTTGCCATTTACCTGAAGAAAACTGGTAGCATGAAAAACTTAGTTTTGTACCTTTTAGGATCTAAGTGGAATTAGTTGGCATGTTTCAGGAGGTGGGTTCTGTCTCCCATATTTCATTTCAAGGATTCCTAGTCTTCAAGAACCATCAAAAGGATGTATTTTCCTGACATTATCATGTAAGATGGTCCATAAAGACCCTCTAAAAGTTCACATGCCTTCCTCTTATATCAGGCTTTGAAAAATGATTTTATTACTATGAGTTTTATATACTATTCTTCAAAGGGTGACTCTTTTTTCATCTTTATTGTTTCATCAATAAAAGATATTTCTTCTAAGTAATTCTCACCACCCCTTCAATCTTCTGCAAGGAAGATATTGGGATTTTCAAAGATGGTGTTCAGCATATTTTCAGTTTTCCTCTCCTTTCCTGCTTCCACCCACTCATCTCTTCTCTGCTTTGGGAAAGAAATGCAAGACTTTCCTGACTGTTCTTGGCCCCCAGCAAACATTTTCTTATTTCAAATGTCTCTGGCTCCAGTGTCTATAACTCTACCACACTGGCCCTGTGTGCTGCCTGGTAATTCTTCTCCAGATGCTTCAGGGACACCCCTCCTGCCTCCCACTGGTGTCCCAAGTTCCTTAAGGGCAAAAGATGTGACTTCACCTCTTCAGCATCTCTAATGTAATCTCATCTAATTTAGAAATGATTATCAACTAAATGCTCAAACAGGGGAAATACATCCATAACTTTCTGTGTATTTGGAAACATGGACTACATTGTACTAACTCTAATCCATATTATTATCATCAAATTTTAAGTAGATTTTCCATTATCCATTTCCCATTATTTCGGTAAATAAAAATAGCAAAGTCAATTTCAGAGAACACTTTCTTCTAAAATCAAATTATTAACCTACGTAAATCTTAAGGGTATTTCCATAGAGTAGGTCAATAATATACTACCTGTTAAGGGACCTATAGGTGAAAAAAATGCATGTTTCCTCTCGTTATTAACCATCATAAACATTGAGGTATTTTAGAAAATCAAGTATAATATGAAATATAATATAGAATTAAATATAAATTGAAAGAATTAAACTCACCTTAAAGCTCCAGTTTCCAGACTCTAGCTTTACTCTTTGTCCCCAAAACACTACTCCAATGAAAACAAAGTCTTGAACCCTTGAACTTTATCTTTTTGCTGCTGCTTGTTCAAAAGAGAAATTTAGGTTTTTTCTTACAGAGAACAGGAGCAAGCAAATCCAAGGTATCCTCAATGATTTTTCATCTTGACTAGTAGGAAAGGGCAATCTATATAAGCAATTGTTTAAAATACTTATAATACAGAATATATGAAATTAAATACTGCCTACTGCAGTACTCTCCCCCACTTTGGACCTGGGTGATTTCCTATCCAATTTTCCTCTCATTCAGTCGATTCATTTCTCAGCTGGGTCCTCTTGAAGAAACAAAACATTAATTGGACTTGCCATTGTGTCTTGGATTATTTTGGTGACAATTTTCTGTGACAGGGAAAAGAGTTGCTAATTCATTGCTTCAGGAAATGAAGGCCTAATAGCCTCACATCTGGTAAATTATGGTCTTCCTGCTTCTTAAGGCAGCAGCAGTACACACAGCATTATTTGGAATTAAGAAAAAGCAGTGAAGGAAATCAAATTTTACATTGCAGTGGACTCACACACACAAAAAGCTCAGAACATGTCCTTTATAAAAGCATCCATTGTCTAAGACATAGAATCGAGTCGGCCACAAGGTAAATTGAGCAAAAACCCTTCCAATATTCTAATGGAAACCCCGAGTGGTCTGTGGACTTAGATCACTTGTCATAGCTCCTTGCCCCCCCGCCCAGGGTGGAGCCCCATCTTGACTCTGGGGGTGGGGTTATCTGTAAATTACCATATTTGCACACATGTAATAATATAGTCTTAAAGACCTCTAGGGGAAATGACAAATAAAGATTGATTTTGCTTTGAGTGGGGGATCATGTTGCATATTGGATAGGAGAATCAGTTGGTCTCACTTCTGCATAACACCTGGACATCAATTTGCAAAAGAAGTAAAGAACTGGGTACGGGGTGGGGAAATCTGCCAAAGGATTGGCACAGGAGGCAGCAGCAGCCTTCCCTATGAATTGCAAGAGTTCAGAGATAGAAATGAAAGTGTCTTACCCCAGTTACCTCCCAGTGGTGGGGTTGGGGGTGAATAGCTTTTATCACATTAATACCAACTTGCATCATGGACTTGTGAAATCACCCTAATGACTATCATATTTGTTTCTGTCCAGGTCCAAGGGAAAATGAACTACGATGACCAAAGAAGCAAACTGGAGGACTTCAACAGTAGATATAAGCAGTTAGTGAAAATAAACCCAATATCTGGGAAGGGCACCAGTGCTTGAAAATGGGGCTCTCTCTGCCTTGACAGAGCAGTGACAGAATAGCACAGCATAGTTTACTCCCACCTAATCCTCTGTAATCCCCAATTGGAACAATTAATTACCCAAGGGGTCATGCTCTATTCCTGTGGTATTTCTATTGAGAGCTTTACGAGGTGGACATGTGTCCATTATGATGCATTTTGACGGCTCCTTTCACTTAGAGCTGAGAATATTCGTTGATTGTGGTCAGTACATTTTCGTGTTGTAAATGGAGTGTAGCTGAAGCGTTCCCTTGATCACAGATCACAGAAAACAGCATATGTTTAGAGAGGGAAAGAGAAAGGGAGAACAAGCCTGTGGATTTAGAAATCATTTTGCTTGTCTAAACCTGGGCCTCGTTCCATCCAGATGACACAAACAGGAAGTGAGATGAGAAGCAGAGCGGGTTCAAGTCAGGATGTCACACGAAGAACAGCCAGTTGCCTTCAGAACTAAGAGATTTAGGGAAGCACCATATTATAATAGGTTCAGAAACTGGAAAACAAAATAGAGCCCGCCTAGGGCCTCAAACACCTGCTGAGTCTGATGCTCTTCCTTTCTTGGTTTGACTGTCACTCACACAATGACTCATGTTCAGATGACTGCTCACCTGAAGGCATTTAACTAATTGGCTTAAATAATTGATATATCTAACCTCATCTCTTAAAATCAGAGGATTTATCATTGTGACTTTTAAAAATACCCTAGCAAAGCTTTGAAAATCTATTCAATTCATTGGCTCATGCCCAGAAACAAATCTGAGGACTTCACATCAGTTAAACTTTTCCAGTTTGACTGTTTTTAAGGAAATGGAAAATTCTTTTTTTAAGTTTTGGAAAGAATGTGGAAATGCAGGAAGATGTAAAATATGTAACAATAAATATCATCCTCAAAGTTCAAATCTGTGATAGTTTTCACATTTATTATCTCATTTTATCCTTCTGGCAACTTTATGATTTTGCAGGTGCCAATGTCCCCATTCTGCATGTAAGAGAATAGAGGCCAGGACTGGAGAAGTCATCTTGCCAAGGCTCCTGACAAGGTCAGAACTAGAATATAACATAACCCTAGGATCTTTTCCATTAACCCCATTGCTGCTGGGCTTCATCCCTTTGTAGGGAAACCAGGATGTTTTTTGTATGAGAGACTTGTAATGTGTCCCAGACACCTTTACCTTAAGTGAAGGGGGAGGTGAGGGGACGGGGAGGAGAGAGAACTTACTATATTCAGTCCTATTCAGAGCACTGCTATATATAATTTATTTAATATCACTACAAGTTTATAATGTATGCACTATTGTTTGCAGGTATTTTACAGATAATAAAATGATGCTCAAAGAGGAATTTGTCAAATTCCACACAGATCCTAAGTGACAGAGCTGGGGTTTGAACCCAAGGAGTCTGGTGGTACCTGAATCAGGGCTTTTGCCCCCACCATTCTTTATTCCCTCTCTAACTTATGAAATTCCTTTTTATCTCCTTTGGTCTTGAGCACAGTCTTTGCCACATAAAAAGCACTTAATAAATGATTTGTGGATTGGGAAATAAGAGATGACGCCCTGACATTTTGTCTACTTGCCTCTGGACCTACAACTGGGTTTTTCAACCACTGAACCACTGATATTTGGGGCCAAAAAATTCATTGTTGTGGAAACTGTTCTGTGTATCATAGGATATTGAGCAGCATCCCTAGCCTCTACCCACTAAATACCAGTATTGCCTCCACCCACTCCTGCCTGTTACGACTATCAAATAGTCTTCAGACATTACCAAATGTCGCAGAAGTGGTGGGGATCAGAAGTCCTCAGGTTGAGCCAAGAGAAGGAGCATGAGAAGGAGATATAGTCTTGAAAGGGGGGATGGCTGGTAAGGATTTTCCAGCAATCCCATGTCAAGAGTGTTCTCACTTGACTGCCTTTTCTCCATACAGCCTTGGGAAGGGAATGAAGGGCTTGTGTGTTTTGCCTCACCTCAAAGCAGTGGGAAGACACTACTTGTTGGGATAACATTCTTGAATAGGGGCAATATTCCAGCTGTAGTCAGGAGAGGATAATGATGGGATGGGGAGGCGGAGATCCCTGATGGGACAAGGTTGCATAGCATTACTGATGCTCCTATATGACTACATGCTGACACATGTAACATATTTCTGAAAAGAAAAGAAAGGAATAGGAAGTAAGAGGTCTGATGCCCAGATGAACTGAGAGGCACCCACTAGGGAGTCAAGACCTGACTTGGAGATGATATTGCTTTGACGTATAGCTGTAAGGGACGTTAGATGGAGAAAATCCAGAACCTGCTTATCTTTCAGCATGGGAGACATTTGTGTGTTTTCTGAGTCATCTGACACACAGAGTGTAGGACTTTCCTGATGGATAAGGAAACCTGATGTACTCATTTGTTATAACAATGAGGTCATTGGAAGACCCATAAAACTCAAGTTTGCTATCCAAGTTCGGATCTAGTTTGTTATTCAGATAGCAGTTCCAAGCCTATTTAACAAGCCAGTCTTGACAAGTTGAATTTCTTTATAGGATGTTGGTTGAATTGTAGCATAGCCATCCTGTCATGAACAGTATTTTCAACTGTGTAGAGAAAATCAAAGTCGAGAGGATTTTTCAGGGTGAGATTTATACTTTCTTAAAATGGAGACTTTCTAAATCAGATTTTCATCAGAGATATAGGAAAGGACTCCAGAATCTCCCTCAGCATTTCTAAAAAAAATGCACCAGGAAAAAAAATGAGAGAGAAGAAACTGCAGATAAGCTTGCACCTTAAAGAAAGCTCACGGTATTTGAAAATCTGGTTACAAAGACGCCAAATATCTTCACTTTGTCCCCTGAGGTGAAGTGGCAGGACAGAATGAATACTATGGAGACAGATGATGCCCAAGGGAAGTCACCAACAATTTTTCAAAAGTTGTTGAATGAATGTCCTTTTCATCACTCCCTACTGCAATATGGAGTATGTAGGATTTAGGGAAGTTCAGACTGTCGTCCAAATCCCTTCTGGATCTTCCCTGAGCCTCATAATTTTTCTGTGCCTCATTTCCACATGTAAACATGTAGATAATACCTATTACATAAGGCTTTTCAATGCCTTAAAAAAAGATATTTTTGAAATTTAGCAAAATACTTGAATTGGTCACCCAATAAATAGAACTTATTATCATAATATTACTATCCCTAATATCGTTTTGACAGCTTGTTTAGACAAGTGGACATCTTCTTTTCCAAGATTTGAAGCTGCATTTTATTCTTCCTGTGAAACTACAATTTTTCCTATTTTCCTGAGATGTATACAGAAGGAGGGTGAAGGGGAAATGACTAATTTTTTACAGTTATTGGAATCATGTTAAGAAGTTGCTAATTACTACATTACACATTCTGGACAATGGATATGTTTAATCTCAGAACAACACATAAGTTGGTTTCCATAGCATTAAACCACAAATAATGACTGAACACAATCTATTCTCATATTCATCAACTTCTTGCCAAGTTGACAAAATCTCACCATTTTGAGGACCCTCTGCAAAGCGACTCCAATGTTTTATAAAAGTCAAATAGTTACAAAGTGTATGAGAGTTTATTACATTATTTTGCAGGAACTACCCAGGGTGGTTGAGGTGATACTCCATTGGCATCCCCTGATCAGGATAGGCCTGGCAGTTTGACTCATTAGGACAAAAAGCACATCCAGCATCTTTTCCTTTTGTCATGCAGCCAGATAACTAGGATCTAGTCAGATGCATTTAACACCATTCTTCCCCCTCCCCCATCTAGGTCCTCAGTGTCAGAAGAGGAAGAAGGAGGAGGAGAAAAAGAGAAGAGGAGGAGGAAATTATTTCATTAAAAGGATGAAGAGGAAAGACAACAGTAGATAAAAGTTTTTGATGCACTTTTGAAAATTGGTAAACAGTATATGAAAAAAGAGTAGGATAATGGATAATGGAAAAATAGGATAATGGAAAAATCTAAACACATCCAGGGGAATAACCTGGATGACCAATATGAGCCAATTCACTCTGCAAAACCTCAGAAAGCTCAGTATTTGAAGGATCTAGGTTGAACAGAGGATGGAGCTCAGGGGAAGGTTTGGATCCCACTTTCTGCCCGTAGCCCATACAATCATGTAGCCACTATTAAACTACCCTTCCTATAACACACACACACACACACACACACACACAAGGATGGATGGATGGAAGGATGGATGGATGGGACCAGAGAATTATACTCTGGAGAAACCAAACATGAAAGGCTTTTAATAGGGGGCACCAGAAAAACAGGAGTCTAGGAATGGCCTTCCCTCAGTTTCTCTTTCTCTACCCACTTCTAGGGTTTATAGGTTTCTCAGTTGTCAAACTCATGCTGTTCCCTCCACATCGACCCTCTCACCCCATTTCTGGCAGAAGTTGATTTTTTTTCTGAATGCCCACAGAAGAAAAGTCTCTAGATAAACATTCTGGGCTCCTCAATGGAAAGGATAGATCATCCCCCCACCAAGGACGTACAGTGACCCTGTCAGTCACCACCTCTCCTCGTGCAGTCCATCACTGCTAGATTTACATGAAAAGACAAGAGGCACTTGAGAAAAATGTGCACCATAGACATAGAGACCAAAACCAACAAAATAAACAAATAAAACTCCAATAGACCTAGATGGATCAGAGTCAATGCAGAAATTCAAAGTAAACTTTAAAAAAATCTGTAATAAATCATTGAAGATGTAAAAAAAAATGAGTCCATAATACATACAGGTCACTATGGAAAAGATGTCAAAGAACAAGAAAGAATTCTCATTGATTAAATACAAAAACTGAAATTAAAAAATTAAGTAGAACATTGTAAGGATCAAGGAAGTCTCAAAGTACAACAAAAATTTTCTTTTAAAAGGGAAAGGGAGAGAAAAGATAAAAAATACTCATGTCCAGAGTTTAGCAGCTAATAATTAAGAGTTCCATAAAGAGAAAAGAAAAAACTGAAGGGAAGATACTATCAAAGAAGCAATTTTTTAAATTTCTAGAACTGAAACTTAAGAGTCTCCCTATTGAAAAGGCACATGGAAGTAGCTTGTGAAATGAGTGAAAAAAAGACAAGACCTCAGGTAAGGTCATAGTAAAATTGAGAACACTTAAAATCTAAAAGAGATCTACAAGCTTCCACAAGAGAGGAGGAAAACAGTCAAATATGCAGTAATGATCTTTAGTTTCATAAGGGCAACTGAACCTCAGAAGACAGTGAAACAAAGCCTGCGAAGTTCTGAGTGACAATATTTTTCAACTTAGAATTCTATTTCCTTCCGAACTATCTATCTCTCATAAGGATAAAACATTTGCTATTTAAAATAATTTTGTCAAGCAGGAAATGTGGGGAAAAAAAAAAAAAGACTTTCCATTGTATTCTTTCTTAGGAAGCTATCAGTGAAAATGCTCCAGCCAAACAGCAGAGTAAACCAAGAAAGAAGCTGATGAAATTACTCCCTAGCATAGGAGAGAGCTGGAAAGAAGCTCCAGGATGCCTACAGAGCAGGTCCAGCAAGTGACCTGCCTGTAGCACAAGGAGAGCAAGTGAGGCACTAAGGAAGAGGTGAGCAGCGAGGAAATGGCATGGATCATTTTGAGCAAATCCATTATTGATAGGCTTGCAGCAGAGGTGTTGGGATGTTTGGAAAATCGTTAATACAGGGTAACAAAAGATGAGTTATTTGCCCAATGTTACCCATCTGGTAAATAACAGAGCTGAGATTACAACCTCAGGCACCTGGCAGTCTAGTTCCTGAGTCTGGTTCCAGGACCCAGGAAGGGA